CAAATCAGGGCCGCAGTGCACGGAAGGAGCAGAAGGAGCCCCGGCCAGCGCGACGGGAAGAGAGGAAGCCGGGCCACGCCGAGCTGGATCCCTCCCGCCACACAAGCGGCGCCAGAGCCTCTCAGCGCGACCGTGGGCCGACATCGGCCGGCGGCCGCGGCAGAGGCAGGCGCCAGAGAGAGGTGTGCGCCGCCCGCGCGGGGTGCGCCGCGCGTGCCCAGGGCGCGCCCAGCCTCCGAGGCGAGCGGCGACGCAGAGTGATCGCGGGGGCCCCCCGACGGGGCGGCGACCACACCGCGTGGTGAGTCGGTGGGTCTTCGGGGTCCCCGCACGGTTTTGGGACCCGAGGCCCTCTCCGAGGACGTCTCGGGCGACAGGGGCCTCTGGGGTCCTAAGACCGTGCGGTGACGGGGCGTGCGGTGAGGTCTTGGTGAGTCGGTCGGTCTTCGGGGTCACCGCACGGCTTTGGGACTCGAGGCCCTCTCCGAGGACGTCTCGGGGGACAGGGGCCTGGGGTCCAAAGGCCTGTGCGGTGACGGGACGTGCGGTGAGGTCTGGGGGGAATTTCGAGGTCACCGCACCATATGTCACCGCACCGTATGTCACCGCACCGTTTCGGGTCTCCAAAGGATCGCAGGCCGCCCGGGCAAGGTCTCCATGTTGTTGCACAGTTGGGGGAACAACAAGTGGCATAAAGATAAAACACATTCGGAGGTACGTACAGCATAAACATAAGCATGAACGGGGACGAGGGGGGCACGTACAGCATACAGTCTGTGGCGCGCAGGCCCCTTGCCCTTGTCAAACACAAGCCTGCGCACACTCTTAGAGGAAGAAAAAGTGACATAAACATAAAAACTCGGAGGTCCGCGCGGATTCTTCGGATCTGCGCTGGGGCCCCCCGGCGGCGCCTCCGGCGCCGCCCCTGGCGCGCTCCGCGCGCCATGGAGGGGGGTCCAGCGCCCGTCCGAGAAATCCGCGCGGACCTCCGGATGTTATGTTTGTGTCATTTGTTTTTCCCCAAGAAGTGCACGCAGTCTTGTTTTTGACAGGGGTACGGGGCCTGCGCGCCACAGGCTGTATGCTGTACGTTGAAGTCGGGCGTGTCCCCAGGAGGACTATTCAAAAATATTCACACACACACACACACGCCACAAAATACGGGGACGATTTTTGAATTATTCAATCGCTTCGCTCATTCCGCCGGCCCATGTTGCATGATCGCTACTGCTTCGCCGTGGGCCCGGGGCCATTGTGGCGCCGCCGATGAGGAAGAAGATGAGGATGGCGAAGGGGAGGGGAGGAGGAGTAGAGGTTGAGAAGGAGAGGAGGAGGATGAAGATAAGTAGGAGAAGGAGGAGGAGGAGGAGGAGGAAGAGGAAGGGGCGGAGTAGGAAGCCTCTCGTTGGCATCTTGTGTTGCTCTTGGGGCCAAACAGGGTCGTCGTCAAGATGCTTCTTTGGGAGGCCTCTTGGGATCTTTTGAGAAGCCGTTCGGGGGCGCCTGGGAGGCATTTTTGAAGCCTTCTGGTGGGCCTCCTGGGGGCCTCCTGGGGCCTCTTGGGGGCCTCTTGGCGGCATCTGGGGGCCTCTTGGGGGCCTCTCGGGGCCTCCTGGGGCCCTCTTGGGGCGTAAGGCGCGAGGTTTCGGTCCGTGGTCCCCCTCTTGGGCCCCTCTTGGGGCAGTCTTGGGCAGTCTTGGGCCGTCTTGGGCGCCTCTTGGGCCGTCTCGGGACCCTCCTGGGCCCTCTTGGGGCCCTCTTGGAAGCCTCTTGGCCCGTCTTGGGGCGCTCTTGGGGGCCTCTTGGGCCGTCTTGGAGCATCGGATGGCCGAAAAGGGGAGAAGGCCCAATTCCTTACAAAACCATCGTATAATTTTTAGTTTTGGCCTCTCGCGGCCCTCTTGTGAGGCCTCTTGGGGGCAACTTGGAGGCCTCTTGGGCCGTCTTGGGGTCATCATCGGCGTCTTGGAGCGCTCTTTGGGCGTCTCGGGGGCCCTTTGGGCAGTCTTGGGGGCCTCTTGGGGCACTCTTGGCGCGCTCTGGGGGGCCTGAGAAGCCACACCCAGGAGGAAAACCATCTCTGGGTAGCAGTGGTCGGGCTGCGGTCGGGGTACTTTTCGCCGGGGGACCCCCAGGGGCCGCCCCGCGCGCGCGAAGTAGAAATATTGTTAACCAGTTACCGGAGATCTTAGCACGCCTCTGGCCCGTTGGGCCGGCGAAGTTTCGAATATATTTGAGCAGTTTTCTGATCTGTATTATTTTTCATTCCAAATCCGCGTGTACGAGGACACGCCTGACCTGACTGTACGTACCCCCGTCGTCCCCGTCGAGAAACAACAATGCGAAGTGCTCGCGTGGCGTCGGCGCATGACCCAGACTTGCCGCGAGGTGCAATGTGTCGTTGTTTTGACAGAGATCGGGGGGCATGGTTCTGGGCTCGGCCTCGGTCGGGAGGGGGAGGGGGGCGTACACCAATACAGTGCTGTTTATAATACATGCTCCGCGTGCGGATCATGTATGACACATGCAGGGATCTAGTATTTGAAACAACGATGAGTTCATGCGTAAATCCATTAATACATTAATCATGTATGAAACATCCCATATTTGTTCAAATCCTATGTATTAGAACCTGCCCTGTAGGAGCAGTGGCAACCCCTCCCCGAATAGGTAAAGAGGAGACGGAAGAGGAGACGGAAGAACCCGCCCGTGCCCCCTTCGTCGCCCCCGTCGAAAATTGATGCAAAGCGTGATCGCGGCGCGTCCGCGCATGATCCAGATGTTGGTGCATAGTTCAGCCACGCGCAGAGGGGGGTGGGGGGAGTGGGGAGGGCTTCTTAGGAAGAAGCACCCCTGCTCATTAGAAGGCGTGGGCCTTATCTATAGGTGTAACGCCGGCGCCTTCTAAGAAGCAGCCTGCTTCTAAGAAGCCCTCCCCCCTCCCCCCACCCCCTTGTGCGCGCCGCCAAATAGTGCACGTCGTATCTCTTTCTGCAAGGCATGGCTCCGGGGGGGTGGCACGGCTCCACGTTCGCCCTCCGTTCGCTCGAGGGGCGGGCATCTGAACATCCGAAGGAGGAGCAGCGATGCACCCCTCCCCGAAGTGGGCACGGCCTCGCGGGCCCGGCCCATGGGCAGCGACCCCAAGGATACGATCCGCTTTTGCGGGGATGCCCCGCGCGGCACGTGCCCCTGCGACTGCGTATCCGCGGGATCGCGCCCCGGAATCCAGACCGCGAGGGTGCGGTACGGATGTTTTCGCTGCTCGTGAGCTCCTTCAGCCCAGCGGTTGTGGTTGTCCCTCCGTCGCTCCTGACAGCAAGCGAAACGCGACGCTGGATGTCTGGGCAGGCCTCGGCGATCGACGCTCGATCCATGCTCCGGCTGCTGCCCCCCCTGCTGTTACCCCTGCACCTGCTGCTAGACCACCTGGGCAACGGAAGAAACAAGGTCGTCTGCGCCGACATTGGCGAGCAAGTTGCCCGCGTAATGTAACGCGTGAGTGCCCTCGTCTCCACTGTGGCGTGCCGCGCTGGCGACCCGCGTAAGTCACCGCGCAAGGTCGCTATGACATCTCGCGTAAGACTCCTTCTTGCGGGCATTACTTAGATCCATATCCAGTGCGTCGTGGACTGTCTCTCCAGAGGCGCCGCAGGGCCGAGGCGCACTGGCTATGGACTCGTAGACAAGTGTGCCTCCAGGGGCCAGATTTTCACGCATACCCACTGCGCCGCGGCTTTCCGGGGGAAGGGAGCCCGAAACGCCGAGCTGCAGTGGACATGGACGCACGTCTTTCAGGAGGGAAAGAATCACAGACACAATTAATCGTCGATCTCTCAGAAAATATGGGAAAATGTGGGAAGTGGGGGGGATGACAAAAACCCAGCGAATATGGGAAAAGATGGGGAATTATTTTATTTGTGTGTATTTATTTGTGTGTGTGTGTGTGTGTCCAAGGGCCCCTTCAGTCTTGCCCGCCTCCTTGCCGCCGAGCGCCAATGGGGGCCGGCGGGGCGCTGGCGCTCTGCTGCTGCCCGCCGCCGCCGGCCTGCCTGGGAACGTGTGGACTCGCTACCGGGGGCCCTTCGCCGATCTGTCGGCGGTGTACCGCCACTTCCAGGTCGATGCTCCCCCCCCTCCCCTACGCCAGTCCCCCCCCCCCCCCCTACCGTTGCCCCTGATGCTACAGTCAGCGCGCCTAGTATGGACGCGCGCCGTCATCTAGGAACGTGCGGACTCGCTATCGGGGGCCCCTCGCCGATCTGTCGGCGGTGTGCCGCCACTTCCAGGTCGATGCTCCCCCCCCCCTACTAGTCGGGGGCGGAAAAGAGGGGGGTGATGACTAGGGGGGGGCATATCATGGCGTGGGCCATGATATTTCCGCAGATTTCACATGGCGCCTCTTCTTATCTCATTGCGTCCCTGGCCCCCCCGCTGGGCCGCGCACATGCCGCCCGTCATGATTTGCACCCCCCCCTCTTGGACAAGCCCTCCTTGGCCGCTCCCGACCTACGCCAGTCCCCCCCCTACCGTTGCCCCTGATGCTGCAGTCAGCGCGCCTAGGAAGGGCGCGCGCCGTCCTCTAGGGCACCCTGGTGTCCTCGCATCTGCGGCCCGTCCTCTGCCGTTTCCGCTGGTCGCCCGCCCGCCGCCCAACACATTGCAATGTCGGCCTCCAGGGGTCTCCCGTCCTCACCTTCCGTCCTCAGTACACGTTGTTCCTGTAGACCACCTGCGCCAACAGGGCTCGTGTTAGGTCGGGCATGTTCCTTAATACAGGGGGGCATATCCAAGAGTAGGAACAAGAATTATCTTGGGCACGATTGTTAGACTATTTTGTACAAGTCTTGAGCATGTGTTGACTATTGTTAATTTTTCTTCGAAGCCCTCCTCAAGTTGGGCATGCCCGACCCAAGGGTGGTGGGGCGCTCCCGCTCCGCTGCCGCCCGCCGCCGCCGGCCCGCCGCGGCCCGCCGCCGCGGCCGGCCCCCCTGGCGCCCAGGCGCGGCCGTCGCCGCCCGGGCGGTGGCCACCTCGGAGGCCAAGAGAGTCAAGGTCTTCTCGGGGGTCGATTGGACGTAAGAGTGACCTTTCGCCGGAGTGACCTTTGGTGCGGGCCAAATGGGGAGTTCGAGGCGGCGGTGGCGTCTTGCGCGCTCGTGTTTGGTCCTCCCGCAGCCCCCCCAAAGCCGCGCACCACAGGTCACTCTTAACAAGGGTCACTCTTGCGCGTAGCCGAGGGAGGGGGCAGAAGACGCACAGACACCATTCACCATCGACTCCCACGACGAGATAGGAGCATTCGGGAAGTGGGGGTGGGGGGGGGGGGAAGACGCCAACCAAGAAAACTCACGGGAAAACCATGGGGGGGATCCTGGGACTTGTGTTAAGTCGGGCTTGTCCCCCTACACGGGGATTTTCGACGAAAAACAAAAGATACCCCCAAACTAATCAAAAAATAATCAAAAAATAGTCTGGGGACTCTTTTTGAATATTGTTTGACCTTTTTGGGGCATGTTTGGGGTATTTTTCATTGTTCGCCGAAAGTCCCCCTGTAGGAGGGACAGGCCCGACTTAACACAAGTGTGTATTCCTGCCATGTGCCCCCTCACCTCCGGAGGGGGGGGGGGGGGGGGGGGGGGGCAAAGCTCGGCCACGCGCGAAGATCGGCGTGCCGAGCCTGGGTGGAGGTGAGAAGGAGGACGGCCTTCTCGGAAGGCAGTGGCGCTTCTCAGAAGCCCTATGTCGGGCCTGTCCCCCCTACAGGGGGAAATTCGACGAAAAATAAAGAATACCCCAAAGATGCCCCGAAAGGGTCAAAAAGTACAAAAAATAGTGCCCGGAGTATTTTTGGATTATTTGTTGTTCCTTTTTTGGGGGTATTTTTTATTTGTCGTCGAAAATCCCGCTGTAGGGGGACAGGCACGACTTAACAGGAGCCCTCCGGCCCTCAGAGAAGTGTTTTCGAAACCTATCTCACTAGTCTGGAAGATTCTTCGGACATTCTCGACTATTCTCGGATCTTCTTCCTGTAGACAGACAAGCCCGACTTCATACCAGAAGAGGAAAACGGCATAAACATAAACTTTTGGCGCTCCGCGCGGACTTCCTGGATCCGCGCTGAGGCCCCCCCTGGCGACGCCTCCGGCGCCGCCCCTGGCGCGCGGAGCGCGCCAGAGAGGGGGGCCCAGCGCAGATCCATGAAATTCCGCGCGGAGCGACAAACATTGATGTTTATGGCATATGTTCTTCTTCTTCTTCTATATATAGGCCTTCCAGCCTTCTGAGAAGTGTTTTGTGTCTTCTGGGGAGGCTCAGACACTTCTCACGAGGCTAGGGGACTTCCTAGCCTTCTGAGAAGCTCTTCTCCTTCTCACTTTCCCCCCGGGCTCGCCGCCGAAGAGGGGGGGGGAACGGGGAGGGGGGACTTAGGGGCAGCGATAGGGTTGATAGGGGATGGGCACAGGGGGGATGCATCGACCCCCACTCGCCCACTGCTCGCCGATGGGGGCCCGATAGCACCAGCCTGCCTGGGAATGTGCGGACGCATGATCGGGGGCCTATCGCCGATCTATCGGCGATGCATCGCCGATTCCAGGTCGGCATTTCCCCCCCCCCCCCCCCAGTGCCAGTCCCCCCTTTATCGTTGCCCCCCAGCGGAGGAAGAGAACGGGGAGGGGGGAGGAGGTACCCTCCTCGCGCTCCTCCTCCTCCTCCTCCTCCTCCTCCTCCTCCTCCTCCTCCTCCTCCTCCTCCTCCTCCTCCTCCTCCTCATGAGAAGCACCCCTGCTTCTTAGAAGGCGCGGGCCTTGCCTGTAGTCGTGGGGTCGTTGCCTTCTCAGAAGCAGCCTCCTTCTGAGAAGGCTTCCCCCCTCCCCCAAGCCCTCTTCTGCGCGCCATCAATCGTCGGAGGAGGGCAACTACAGTCGAAGTTGATGATCAGCATGGGCAGCCTTCCGAGGCGCAAACCTCAGAAGGTTTTGAATCTGAAGGCGCCCCTCCCCGAAGTTTTCGGCCAGCAATGAAACGCGTCCTTTTTCTCCTCGTCCTTTCCTTCCTCATCATCATCATCATCATCATCATCATCATCATCATCATCATCATCAGCAGCATCAGTATCATCAGCATCAGCATCACCATCATCAGCATCGTCAACAACATCAACATCAACATCAACGTCATCATCGTCACCACCAGCACCATCAGCATCATCATCATCATCAGCAGCATCATCATCATCCGCATCAGCATCAGCATCATCACCATCATCAGCATCGCCAACAACATCAACATCAACATCAACGTCATCATCGTCACCACCAGCACCATCACCATCAGCATCCTCATCATCATCAGCAGCATCATCATCAGCAGCATCATCACCAGCATCATCATCATCAGTCTCATCACCATCACCACCGATATCGACCGTCTGCTGCTCGTCATTCGATGTCGTTTGCCCGAGCGAGGTATGACGCCTGCCGTTCTCGGGCATGACCTCCTTTCCTCGTTTAACTACCTCCTCCATCGCAAACACTAAGGTGGACAGCAGCTCCGAGTGCGTCTTGCCGCGAGAGCTCGTGCCATCGCGAAGAAGTGACGGGCGATTCGGGAGCTGCGCGGTCGTTGAAGTGCCGAGCCGTGCGCCGAAGGCCGAGCTCATCATCGTCATCATCATCATCATCATCAGCAGCAGCAGCAGCATCAGCATCAGCATCAGCATCATCATCATCAGCATCATCAGCAGCATCACCATCACCATCACCATCACCATCGTCAGCAGCATCATCAGCATCATCAGCATCATCAGCATCATCAGCATCAGCATCAGCATCAGCATCAGCTTCATCATCAGCAGCATCATCATCAGCAGCATCATCAGGGTTCCTCGTCCCCCTCCGTTTATCAGCGGTGGCCATTGCGGGGGAATCGCTTTTCTCTGTCTAGTTGGGGTCCCAATCAACAAATGCGTCGGCTCCCATTGTTTGGGGTATTAAGGGCCGATCGCGGTACTTGCAGTCGAAATTATTGACGATTGGCGTATATCCACCAGCCCATCCAGAAACGATGCTTAGGATTTGGGGTGACCAGGGAAGTGTAGGAGCAACATAGGGGTCAGCCGCTCCCTGCCGAATGAGGAGAAGGAAGGTGGAAGAGTAAATGGAGGAGCAGGAGGAGAGATAGATGGAGAAGGGATAGGCAGATGAGAAGCCTCAGGAGGAGAAGGAGCAGGAGGAGGAGGAGGAGAGCGAGCAGAGGGCCAGATGCCTTTTGGATGCCAGGGGGCTCCCTTGGATGTCTCTCAGGCCGTCTCTGATGCCTCTTGGTGCCTTCGGGAGACCCTTGGGGCGTCTTGGGTGCCGTTGATGGGTGCCCATTGAGGCCTTGTGGGGCCGTTTGGGCACCTCGTGGAGACCTCTTGAGGCTCTCTTTGTGGCTCGGGAGGCCCTCTTGAGGCCAACCTGTAGGACATCGAGCCAAGAAGGGGGGTCCTTGATCAGCTGCGCCCCTCTAGGGCCTCTAAGCTCGCCTCTTGGGGCCCTCTTGGAGTGCACTCGGAACGCTCTTGGGCGCGCTTGGGGCCGTCTTGGGGCCCTCTTGGGCCTCTCTCGGTGCCATCTTGGGCCATCTTGGAGCTATCTTGAGATGTTGGAAGGTCATCGGAAGCGAAAGGGCGAGAACGCAAAACACACTGATTTGTCAAAGTTGATGGACGGATGTTGGCCTCTTGGGAGCTTCCTTGGGGATGCTTCGAGGCCACTTGGAGCCGTCTTGAGGTGGTCTTGGAGCCTCTAGGAGCATTCGGGAAGCCATCTTGAGCAATCTTGAGCCATTTTGCACTGTCTTGGAGGCCATCTTGGGCTCTCTGAGGCCCTCATGGGGCCATCACGGGCCTCCTTGGACGTTCCAATGGGTCGCGGGGCGCACCGTCCAGGTCCAGGGGATGGGGGTGAGGGGAGGGGTCAAGCTACCCCACCCGCCCGCAAGCCTTCTAGCTCACTCCCACCCGTTCACCCACACGCATAAGTAACACCCGAGCCTGAGCATTTCTTTTTTCCTTGACATGAACTGCGAGGATGAAACGACTCTTTAGCCAGCCCTCGAAAATGGCTAAGAGCAGCGCCAACGGCCCAGGGCCATGCCCCCGTGGCGCGCTAAGTGCGCGAACAGGGAACGCAAGGAGACCGTGCTCCGCGCAGCGGTCGTCTTTGGGTGGACAGCTACCGGGGGGACCGGCGCCGATGCCCAGGCGCGCGACTCTCGAGCGAGAGGTGCGCCGCGCGTGCCAGGGGGCGCCACGCGCGCTGGACACCCTCCATGGGGCCCGAGCGCGCCAGGCACGCCTGGTGCGCCAGATGCGCCACGAGGAGGAGGAGGAGGAGGAGGAGGAGGAGGAGGAGGAGGAGCGAGGACAGATAGGAGGAGGAGGAGGAGGAGGAGGAGGAGGAGGAGGAGGAGGAGGAGGAGGAGGACGAGGAGGAGGAGGAGGAGGAGGAGGAGGAGGAGGAGGAGGAGGAGGAGGAGGAGGAGGAGGAGGAGGAGGGAGGAGGCGGAGGAGGAGGAGGAGGAGGAGGGGGAGCGCCAGGTGTGCCGCGCACTCGAGCCGCGCCAGGTGCGCAACATTCGGGGCACGCGCAGAGTGCGTCAGGTGCGCCTGCGCAGGTGACAGCACACATCGGGCAGCAGGTCGGCCCCCGCCATGCCTGTCGAAAACTCATGACCATCATTGTGTCTGGTGGGCCTGCGCACGGCAGGCCACGCGCCACCACCCCCGCCGTCCCTTTCAAAAATCATTTGACAGTGATCGCGGGATGGCCGCGCATGATCCACATTTAGCTGCGAGGTGCATGTTGTACTATTTTGAATCAAGGATGGTAGCCTTGCGCACAGCAGGGAATATGCTGACCGCCGCCGTCCCTGTCAACAACAATACAGAGTGCTCGCGGGCCCCTCGACTATGACTCAACACTTTGCCCCAAACTGTACTTTGCATAGTTTTTGTTGAAAGGGATGGTAGGGGGGGGGCGCATCGGGTTGGTCGCGCATGCTCCAAATGTGGAGGCAGAGTGCGGTTTGTATTCTTTTTGACAGGGATGGCGGGGTGGGGGCCCGCATGGAGTCGGCATGGTTCCGGATTGGCCGCTGGCCGGGTGGGGCAGGGGGTGCATATCAATCAGGAACAGTGGTAAGCCTTCACCGAATGGGAAGAAGGGACGATAGGAGAGAAAACGCCTAAACCACTCACGCCCAGAGGGCTGGTGGGAGTCATGATAAGGATGGGAAGCCGATGTGGATTCCGATTCTCAGCATGTAGTTGGCGATGCGGCGCGATCCTCCGACCCCCATCCACCCGGACCCCATCCAGGAGGCTTCGAAAAAGAGGGAAAACTCGGGCCAGACGGAAGGGGGGGATTGGGAAAGGGGGGGGCGTACGAAATTTGCTGTTTGCAGCTGGTTTCGGCCCCACCGAGGGGCCCATTCCTCGATACATCGTCGCCTCCGGCTCCGGGAGGCGCCGGGAAAGTCAGCTACGCGAGCTGATTCTCAACCCCCCCTCTTTGCTATCCCCCCCTTTCGCCCGAGCCGAAAAACGATCGGAGGAGGGAGGGGGGAGGGCCGGAGGAGAGCGGGGCGGGCGCGCGCCAGCGCTCCATCTCCCCAGGTGTGGACCGCCGCCGAGGCCCGCTCGGCCTTCATCGCATTCTTCAGGCGCCGCGGGGGCGGCGGGATATCCCGCGGCACCGCCCGCGGAGGGCTTGGACGCCCGAGATGGGCACGGAAAAAATGGGAGGAGGAGGAGGAGGAGGAGGAGGAGGAGGAGGAGGAGGAGGAGGAGAGGAGGAGGAGGAGGAGGAGGAGGAGGAGGAGGGGGAGGGGAGGAGAGGAGGAGGAGGAGGAGGAGGATGAGGATCAGGAGGAGGAGGAGGAGGAGGAGGAGGAGGAGTAGGGGGGGGGGAGGAGGAGGAGGAGGAGGGGGGGCGGGAGGAGGAGGAGGAGGAGATGGAGGAGGAGGAGGAGGAGGAGGAGGAGGAGGAGGAGGAGGAGCAGGAGGAGGATGGGTACAGTGCCCAACAGCAAATGTTGTCCCGAACCAACCGCGGCCGCGGTTGGGCAGGCGGCCTCTTGTCTCGAATGGGCACAGGCCGCGGCGGCGCGGACAGCGAGCCCTGTTCAAAATGAACAGGGACTGCTGTTGGGCATCGTACCCATTCTTTCCGTACCCATGTCGTTCGTCCTGAGGGGGGGGGGGCCCGGATGTGTCTTTGCCCTGGTCCGAAATGCGGCTCGATCGGGCTCGCTCCCGTTGAAACCCGCTCAATCCGGCTTGATCTTGAGTCGGGCCTGTCCTTCTACAGGAGCACTATTTCAAAATCGAGAAAACATAGTCTGGGGACGATGTTTTGAGTATTGCTGCACATTCTTGGAGTCTTGTGTTTGATTTTCGTCCGAAGTCCGGCTGTACGGGGACTTGCCCGACCTAAGCTGGATCCCGCTGCATCCCCGGCTTCATCCCCGCTGACCCCGCGGCCTAATGCCAATTCAGTAAGTTTGGCCCCCCAACTAACGGGGCCTAATCCTCCCGAGCCCCTCCGACGAAGACCCCCCTCCTCCAGCACCTGCCCCGTGGCCCACGGCCGGACACCCCAGGCCCCCCTTCCCCTCCTCCTCCTCCTCCTCCTCCTCCTCCTTCTCCTCCTCTCGGCACGCTCGACTCCTCCTCCTCCTCCCCCTCCCCTCCCCCTCCCCTCCCCCTCCCCCTCCTCCCCCCTCCTCCTCCCGTCCTCTTCCTCCTCCCTCCTCCTCCTCCCTCCTCCCAACCCCTCCCCCCCCTCCTCCTCCTCCTCCTGCTCCTCCTCCCTCCTTTCCTCCTCCTCCTCTTCCTCCTCCTCTCCTCATCCTCCCTCCTCTCCCCTTCCCCTCCTCGAGAGCGCCCTCCTCGACGGCCGGCGAGGGAGTAGGTGCCGTCCAGTCGATGATCCTCAGGACGTGTGTTAGTCCAATGTGTGTTTCCTCCCGTCAGTCGAAGGAGAAAACACGCCACAAACATAAACTTTTGGCGCTCGGAGCGGATTTCTTGCATCTGCGCTGGGCCCTCTTGGCGGCGGCTCTGGCGCCGCCCCTGGCACGCTCCGCGCACCAGGGAGGAGGGTCCAGCGCAGATCCAAGAAATCCGCGCGGACCTCCAACAGTTTGTGTTTATGGCGTGTTTCTGTTCCTCTCATTCAGCCCAAACAGTAGATCAATACATCGCCTGCGTCGTATCGAATGGCCTCTAAGGACCAACCCACGTTGGGGCTAACACACGTTCTGAGGATCATCGAGCCAGGGATCGCAAGCAGCACGACTACATCCCGTCGAGCCCGGTGGTCCCCCTGAACGACCCCACCCTGCTGTTCTCGAACGCAGGACGGGGCGGGAGGGTCAGTGTCGTTTAGCCGATCCCCATCCCCATCCCCATCGCATCTCGAGCCCCACCGCCTCACCACGTCAATTGGGGATCTGCTCCTCGAAATCTCAAGAGAGCAGCCCAATATCCCCCCATCCAGGGGGATACATCTCGGCCAGTGGGACCCCGCCCGCGCCGGTGGGGATGGGAATCGGTTCAACGATGCTCAGAGGGGGCTGTCAGACGGGACCAGGACGAGGCCGTCAGCATTCGACGCCTCCACGTGGAGGCGTCCCCGAGGGAGAATACAGTCGGGGCGCTGAAGAAGGAACCCTTTTTGTTGGGGAGGGGCTCGGTGTGCCTTGATTGTTCTGCAGTTTGCCTTTTGTTTTCCTGAGGTGTTCCATGGCAAATCGAAATTCAACTTATGGGAGAAAGGGGCCCCGTTCCTTATTTAGGGTTCCTTAGGTCAACGCTCCGACTGTAGGACGTGGGCACGGGTGGAGCCGCCCATGCCCGCGTGACTCTCTCCCCCGAGGACCGACAAGGAGAAGGGGGATCTCTGGCACTGCGCGCATCCTCACACCAGGGTCGTGGTCTGAGTGGGCCCTGGAAAGGACAGGGCCGTTTTTGTTGCCGGCTCCGTTTTGCCGTCTCTGTTGTTCCGACGCCGTTTTTTTACCGGTTCCGTCGCCCTTCTTTTCCGGGTTCTCGTTCCGGTTCCAATCTTGGAGCCGTTTTTGTTGCCGTTTCCGGTCGCCGTTTTTTTGCCGTTTTCATTTTCAAGGGACAATTTTTCGGAAACGGTGAAGAAACGGCCTTGCCGTTTCCGGGGCCCACTAAAGGTCGTGGTCCGCTGAAGGTTTTCTAAAGAAAAGAGAGCGGGGTTCTTGGCGCGGCGGGGTATGGCCCCAGAGAATCCCCGTCCCCAGGTGCCTGGGTCGGACGAGGCTAGGACGAGGATACATTCCGTTCCAGGGCGTTCCGGAACGTTCTCCGAGCGTTCCAGAGCGCTCTGAGAAGGCCGCGGCGCCCGAGACCCTCCAGAGCCGCTGGATCTGACAGATTCTCGATGTATCCCCACCCGACTAATATTTTCATCCTGGCTTCGTTTTACGGGGGGGGGTGCAGGACGCTGGGCGGACTCCCTCACCCAGGAGGAGAGGAGAAGAGGGGGATGGAAAGGAGGAGGAGGAGGAGGAGGAGGAGGAGGGGGAGGAAAAGGAGGAGGAGGAGGAAGAGGAGGAGGAGCCTAGGGGCCCCCTCGCCGCTCTCGCACGGGGGAGTGTCCAGGAAGCCCGTGGGCTTGCCTTATTTGGCGCCAGCCAGTACACAGTACATGGCGACCGCGACGACGACGACGACGACGACGCGCCCGCCCGACCCGCCAGACGACGGCGATGGCCGTAAGTGTTTGCCGGCTCGTTGGAATGAAGCCCTGCCCGCCCGTTTTCACGTTCCGCCCGGCCCGCCCTTCAGGGTCCTCCCTTCCGACCCACCCGGTATCATACTCCAAATCCCTTATTATCCCCCGGGTCCGGTTTTTTAAGGCGCGTTTTTTGTTAACCTGGTGATCTGGTTTATCAGGGCGTTTTCTTTGGATTGGAGCTTAGGGGTCTGGCTTATTAAGGCGCGCCGTCGAAGAGGGGGGTCCGGAATATCAGGTTACATTTGGAGGGGGGTCCGGTTTTGTATGGGGGTAGATTAAATGAAAGATTCGGAATAGGGCCGGCCGCTCGTTTGCATGAGAGCCCGCCCAGCCGCTCGAATGCCCCGCCCGCCCCTTCGAGTGCGCGTCCAGCCCGCCTCGCCTCGCCCGCCGGGGTCCGCCCGACCCGCCCGTCGGGGTCCGCCCGCCCGACCCGCCCGTGAGGGTTCGACCGCCGGCCCCGCCCGCCAGGTCCCGACCGCTTGACTTACAACTTACAGTCGGCCCAGCTTAGTAGGTCGACCCTGCCGAAGCAAGGGTACCATTGTGTCCTGTGTCTCGCGACCCATGCTTCCTACGTTCCTGCGGCATTGTGGCCCTCAGAAGGGTCTTGTGTCCTCCCGCGTGTCCTGTCCAATCGAGTCCGACTGTAGGTCGGGCGTGTCCCCCTTACAGGAGGATTTGTTTGCGAAAAGTAAAGATACTCTAGACAATAGTCAAAAGACACAGTCCACAGATCGTCCCCATATGATTTTTGTCATTATTTTTGAGTAGTCCTCCTGTAGAAGGGACCTCCACAGGAGGAGTCTCCAGAAAGAGTCCAACGATGGCCAGGGGGCGATGTTTGACTATTTGTGGCTGTGCCTGGTCACTTGCTGGCTACTCTGCTCCCTTCTCTTGTCCAGAACCCCCCACTGCAGGAGGGCGGACCTCTCGGGGGGGCCCTCCCGCCCTCCGCGGTCGGCGCACCGCTCGCGCGCCGTCCGCGGCGCCAATATGCATGGAGCTCCGCGGCTGTCACCGAGCACGCAGGAGCACCTGACTCCAATGGCGCGACGAAGACATGTCCTCCTCCTCCTCCTCCTCCTCCTCCTCCTCCTCCTCGCGACGACGACGTGGCCTCACCGAGGTCCCCGTCCTCGCGCTCGGGGGAAATGATGATTCTGGGCGGTGTTTGGCCCGGTGCACCTGCCGGAAAAACATACCCCCTTTTGGGTCCGAGGATTGCGCCGCATCGCCGATGCACCGACGATGCGGCTCGATGCGGAGCCCGATTTTCTCCACGCCGATGTCGCCGATGCATCGCCGATGCATCGCCGATACATCGGCGATGCATTGGCGATGCGGCGCGATCCTTCGACGGCATTTACTCGGACCCCATCTAGGAGGCCTCCATTTTATCCCTCAGTAGTGTCTCTGGCCCTCCCAGCGCAGGTCCCCTCCCCAAATGGCGCAGGTCCCCTCCCCGACGGGCTGGGGGCCCCTTTTTGGGCCATCGGCCTGCGGCCTCGGTGGGCGCGGACGCCTCGGGCCCCGCCGCTCGCTGCGGCACACCCCTGACGTGCCCCGGGACACACGAAGAAGTACACACAAATCACAAGATGTCCCTATATTTTCCTACATTTTCTGAATTTTCGTCTCCCCCTCCACTTCCCATATTTTCCCATATTTTCCTGGAGATCGACGATTCATTGTGAGCTTCACCTGCGGCCCCAGTGGGCGCGGTCGTTTCGGGCCCCAGCGGTCACTGCCGCGCACCCCTTGCACGCTTCGTGCCCTCATTGGCGAGCTTCGTCTTCGGAGTTGCCACTGTGCCCGGGCGTGTCCCCAGCCACTGTCCTCTCCCTTCCCTCCTGTTCTCTGCCCTGCGAGACTCGCAGCTGCATGTGGTTGGGTCCTTCACCAAGGTGTTTGCGTGTTCAGCCAAGCGCCCGCCAAAATGCACGCCTTCTTTTCCCTGACAGAAGCACCGGCGCGCATCGGCACTGACTTAGCTCTCACGGGCGCCCGTTGGCACCCACGAGCGCGAGGAGGAGTGGAGGAGGCGCCCGATCTGGCCCAGGCCGCCCTAATGGTGTCGACTTGGATGGGGTCGGCGGATTGCGCCGCTTCTCCGATGCGACGCGTCTCGATGTGTAGCCCGATGTTCTCCACGCCGACGTCGCCGATGTACAGGCGATGCATCGGCGATGCGGCGTTATCCTCCGACACGATCTGCACGGACCCCATTCCGGGCGGCCTCCATCGTCGGGCGATGACACTGCCAAGATGTCCCCCATCAGGTCCACTCTTTCGTTTGTTTCGGCCCCGCGGCTGCGGCTTCGCTGCACTCGGCTGGGGAAGGCACGGCCCGTCCTGCAACAGTGGTGCCTGCCAATTTCCTGGTTCAAGTCAGGCAACCGCCACTCGTTTGCGTTACCTTCCTCTCGTCTCTGCCCCCGCCTTCTCCAAAACACGACCGGCACATCGAACAAGGAATCAGCCTGCCAGCAGGTGCCCTCGGAGATGTCTGCTCCCCCGATGCCCTGGGAGCCACAGGGGCTCTGGGACACCTTGGGACCCGCAGACACGGACGAATACAGTCGGCCCAGGCAAGTAGGTCGACCCTGCCAAATCGAGTGCGCCCTCGTGTCCTGCGTCTCGCGGCCCATGCTCCCTGCGTTCCTGTGGCCATGTTCGGGGAAACGTAAGACTCGGGTTACGCTGGAACTCGGGTTTGCCGACGTTTTTTGACGAGCGCGTCCTGGATTTTGACGGTCCAGTTTTCGTGGGATGTCTGCAGCGGGAGTTCGCATCAAATTTCTGATTGGGTCTCGTCATTTTTATGATGGCCTTGTCAGGCCAACCCGAGTCCCCCGTACCCGAGTCTTACGTCTCCCCGACATGTGGCCCTCGGAAGGGTCCTGCGCCCCCTCGCGTGCCCTCTCCGGTCGCGTCCGACTGCAGCGCGCCTCGCGAGGGGAGGGCGCCCAGTCGCAGAGGAGGGGCGCGGGGGCATGCGGGCTCGGCCGGCGGCCGAGTCTGCGGGGCGGAGGCCGTCCGCCCACGGCTGCCCGCCAGCACTGGCGTGAAATCGGGCCTGTCCCTCCACAGGGGGAGCATCCAAAAATAGTCCAAAAAGTAGTCTGGGGACCATTTTTTGAGCATTGTTTGAAACCATTTGGGGGCATTTGTTGTGACTACTTCTCATTTTTCCTCCAAAT